GACGTGCACAGCCGTCAAAGGGGCAATTAAATTCATATATTACGTGATTACGCCTTAACTCAAGAGTTATCTCTGGGACTGCAGTTGTTTTTCAGTATTAGGGGAGACGTCTTTTTATTGTTGTAATAAATTCGGAGTTTAACTTTACTATTTGGGTTGGTTGGTGTGACATTTTTATTGATGATATGTTTAGGAATAGCTTCATCTACCTTGTATGCAGTTGACATGTGATTTCTGTAATACAAGATGATGTCGTTATCTTGATTGTTGGTATTAGGAAGGTTATTACTGTGTAGTAATTTGCCTTTAACAATATTTTCAATAGAGTAAGTCTTATATCCATTTTTTCCTAGCAGGTTAGTGACTCTTTTTAATTCGGCGTCGCGATTTTCAATATCGGAAGAGTGTGTGAATGCCCGGTTTACAAATGATTTTACTGTGCTGTCTTTAAATTGTTCGGTACATTCACTTTGTCCATTCAAACAAATTCCTGTATTCGTTTCTTTGACATAGACCGCGGTTTTGAATCGTTCTTCGCCACTGGTGACCAACACATCGAGGAAAGGTAAACGTTGTTCCTTTTCAATTTCAATGGTAAATCTAAGTTTTGATTTGTTTAAGGTACAAAGAAGTTGGGTGATTTGTTCAGGATCGTTATAGGAGACAAAGATATCATCCACGTATCTGGTGTAGTTATTGGGCTTAGTTTAGTTTTTAGTTGAGGAGTGGGATCTTTTTTGTTTACTTGGAACTTTTTTGTATCATTGAGAACATCATTGAGTTTTTCATGGTAATCGGCTCGGTCGATAATGACATATTGTGCAGATTTATCTGCGCGTCTTATTACGATATCTTTATTCTCCCTAAGTTGTTTCGCCACATCCTTCATCTCATCAGTGAGTAGCTTACTTCAAGCTGAAGGCAAGAAACAATGAGGTAGTTTTCATATATATATATATTATATATATATATATATATATATATATATGAAAACTACCTCGTAAAAGTAAAACTAGAGAGGACACCATTGGGGAATGACCAAACTGTCCTCTCCTCTTAACTCTCCTCTCCTCAAGACTCAACATCAAAATCTTTTTTGATATACTACATAAAAAATTAAAATACAACAACACGTTTTTAATATTGTTATGGAAGAAAATCATTCATAGTTGTCTGTTTGCCAAAACATTTTGTTTTTAACAATTCAATTTCTAAAATATTTTCATTGTTCTCAGAAAATTGTAACAATTCTCTATTGCCCATATGTATCGAATAGGAAATTAGCTTCCTGGCACATTGTAATTCCATCGTTGTAGAAACTTCTTGGACTGGAGCCTCTTCTTCCTCTTCATCATCTTGGACTTCAAATTGTTCATGATTTTCAGAACTTTGTGGGCTATGGATTGAGTCATCATTGTTACCCATGGTTACAAAATTCTTTATTTTCACGAATATTTGCAATTTGAGTTTTTCCGCAACCAAATTCTTCAGCAATTTTTTGTATGCTAACTCCATCATTTAATTTTTTCACCACCAGCATTTTTTCTTCCAAGTTTAAAAATTTTTTTCGCAGAGTCGACTCCATTATTACACAACAGTTTATCAACACGACCGCGATAAAAAATCAAAGAGCGAAAATAATTTTTTTTAAATAACCAAAGATTATCAAAGTTTCTTTAGCGCATTCCATAGAATAGAATAAATACAGATATTCAAATTAGATGGCGCATTTTATCAAATATTTCATGTGTTTTTGTTATAAATTGTCCGCTCTTTAAGACATAAAAGTCAATTTGTACTTAAAACCCTGTCCGTAGTTCGTTCCTTTAAAATGTCCGTTCTTTAGGGTCTATTTAACATGCAAAACGGTTCTGTGCCAAGCAATACTGTCCGTTACTCTTATCTGTCCGTTCTTTAGGGTCCCGCTCTAGAAGACTTTTACTGTGTGTGTGTATATATATATATATATATATATATATATATATATATATATATATATATATATATATATATATATATATATATATATATATATATATATATATATAAAAATAAATCTAATATATATCTGTGAAAAA